TCAAGCCCCATGACCGACAAAAAAAAAGAAAAGAAAGAAAGAAATTGCAAGGTGCATCTTAGCAGAGATAGGCCCAGGTTAGTGTGGGGGTGTGGGGGCGTCACGCCCCCTCCCTTCCCCGGCTGCCCTGGGTTGCCCTCCTCTCCCCCTCCCCCAGAGCTTCACCTGCACTGTGCCTTACTGAACCTTCTGGTTTAACCTGTGCTTTGCTTCGCTCCCACAGAGGTCAGCAGAACTGGCTCCAGCTAGATCACCGCGTTCTTGACCATGATTTGCCCAAGAAGCCTGGCCCAGCCACATTGTCCTTCGAAGTCAGGTGTGTACCAGTACTGGCATTCCCATCGTTTTCTTTGGTTTTAGTTTGGGTGGCATTTTCTTTTTTATAAGTCTAACGATCAGAAAGAGAGGGGAAAGAGAGAGAGAGAGAGAGAAGTATGGAGAGAGAAGGAGAATTAAGAAAGAGGAGAAACAAGGTGCCAGTGGTAGAGTACTAGCCTTGAGCACAAAGAGGCTCAGGGACAGCACCTAGGTCCTGAGTTCAAGCCCCAGGAATGGAGGAGGAGGAGGAGAGAGGAAGGAGATCTGTCTAAACATTATCATGTGAAAGACTCTACTGTCTAGATCCCAGTTACCATAGATACGGTATGGAGCTATTTTCTTTGAAGATGAAGGATTGAAACTTTAATTTCTTAACGCCTCGTATATCAATTTAAGGCTGAAATATCTGAGCAGTACATTTTAGTATATAAGCCTGTTCCTTATTCAGCATACTCGGAGGATGCTTACTGTTTGAAATTTAATAAACATTTGTTATGACATTTTACATTGGAAGAATGCTTTGTTAGAGACTTGGGATAATGGAGTTTTGCACATTTTCTTCATTGGAAGGGAAGAGACAGTGTAAACAAATGCTTGCGAAAAGTGTTATCCTAACAGCTCAGAGATCTTAGCACAATGCAAGCATTCCCTGAAATGCAAGCATTCCCTGACTTAGGCTCTGAGCTCTGATGGGGAGTCAGTTAGCTCTGCCCTGAAGTGAATATGTGTGACTCAATCAGTGATTTCTCAGTCTGCCCAGCATGGAATCTTACTATTAGTTATTAGTAATCTGGGATAAATAGAATGCTAGAAGAAGTAACTCACATACAAAATATTAACAATTGTGCTAAGAACTCCTCATGTGAGAGTTCTCTTCCCCTCGTCTAAAACCAAAGGATTGTTAACATCGGCGAACACAAATACTGGTAGCTCATACCTGTAATCCTAGCTTCTCAGGAGGCTAAGAACTGAGGGTCATAGTTTCAAGCACACTTGGGCAGAAAAATCCATGTTAACTTTTATCTTCAATTAACTACCCCAAAGCTGGAAGTAGAGCTGTGGCTCAAGTTGTAGAGGGCCAGCCTTGAACAAAAATAGCCAAGGGGGAGCTCAAGGCCCTGAGTTCAAGCCCCATTTTTCACAACAGGTGTCTCATAGCTGTCATTTATTTTTATAAAGCTAGATCAGCTGAAGAATGGTCCTGTGATCTGAGGTCATGTTAATTGTTGGGTGGAGAAAGTGGTAAAAATCTAGATTTTTTTTTTCTTACTGGGCTTTTATGGGTATCTTTCTTTTCTCTAACTGAGACTCTTCCATAAAATCCAAACGTGTGAGAGCCACCTTTTTTAAATTATGTGTGTCTGTGTATATACATATATATATATATATATATATATATATATGTACATGTATATAGCGATAGATTGATTGATTGTGAGTTGCTGCTCTTTTCTCAGCAAATAAAATGTGGAGTACTGTCAGTTTGGATTTTGTTTTGCTTATATTTTTGTTTTGTAGCTTTTTAATTCTGAAATCTGCAATCTGCTGTCTGGTCTGTCTTGAGTCTTGAAAACACCAGAGGATAGAACCCAGCCTTAGGCATTCCCAGGGCCCCTACCTCTTTCCAGCAGGTTCCAGGAATTCCAGGGGCTGCGGCTCCTCCTCCACCGTCCTGCTCAGAGCACCTCGCTGGCAGGATCCCTGAACTACTTGCCTGTTTGAAACCCTTATCAGTTTTTGTGTTGTTTTTGTAATTATTCACTTAATTCCTCCTCCCAACTGGATAGTGAGGTCATTATAGTCTTTATTATTTCAATTAAGCAGTGGTTGTTACTCCAATTAAATGAAAGAACTGATAAAGCAAAAGCGTGCACCAAAGAACTGAGTGGTCTGATGGGGTCAGCGAGTGGAGGTTGAATGGGAGTTGTCACCTACCCGTGAAGTCCCTGGTCACACTGCTGACTTGGAAAAACAGAATTGCTGTTGGTTCCTCTAGTCAGGAAACACCACCGACCCACAGCCCTCTGGGGTGCCTGGGTTGACAGAAGAGCCACAAACGTGTCCTTTGGTAGAGCTGTCTTGAGTTTGGTCTAAGGGCCTTGAGGTCTTACCTTAAATGGGGTCACCACCCCTCTTGCCATATTTCCCTGTGCAAGGGTCACATGTGTAGCCATCTATCTCCCTGTGGACACCAAGGTGTGTGGTCACTTACTGCTCAATGAGAAAGGATTCTTTGCCGTGGTCACACAGTGCAAGGATATGCACCACTGAGTTTGTGTGTGTGTGTGTGTGTGTACACGAATGCCAGTCCTGGAGCTTGAACTCAGGGCCTGGGCGCTGTCCCTGAGCTTTGGTGCTCAGGGTTCTACCACTTGAGCCACAACTCCACTTCCAGGTTGTTTTTGTTTGTTTGTTTGGGTTTTGAGGTTAGTTGGTTTTGTTTTTGGTTGTTGGGGGGGGCGGGAGGGGTATTTTGTTTTTTGATGTTTACAGAGAGGTGAGACTCTCCTAGACTTTCCAGCCCAGGATGGCTTTGAACCGTGATCCTCAGATCTTAGCCTCCTGAGCAGCTAAGATTACAGGCGTGAGCCACCAGCACCTGGCAAGTTGATGTGCTTTGTATGTCTATATGTATATCTATAAAAGCTGAGAAAATGTCTGAAACAAGTGACACAAGCCCTGAAGAATCACTTCTCCCTTTCTGTCCCTGAGCTTCTTTTGCTCAAGGCTAAAACTCTACCACTTGAGCCACAGCACCACTTCCAGCATTTTCTGTTTATGTGGAATTGAACCCAGCGCTTTGCTTTACGTACCCTAGGCAAGCACTCTACCACTAAGCCACCTTGGGAACCTTGCTTCTCCTTTTCGTTCCTTATCAGGCATGCACATCTCTACATTGTCCCAGCCCAGCAGGGAAGCAGGCCAAAGTCTCAGTCTCACTGTCAGCCAAGGACAACTAGATCAGCTCCAGTCCTTTCAGTTTATCCAGTTATCTATTATCAGATATCTGATCTCCTGCTAGAAGTCGGGGCAACAGCAGTGGTGAGAAGCAATGACAGAATCCCATCTTGATTATAGTCTGTGCAGAGGTCTCTGACTTGAAATAAACATGTAAGGTGCCACATGGAAGAGATTCTGGGGAAAGAAGTACTTTCCTCAGTGGCATTTTAAGTAGAGTGGTCCCAGAAATCTTGATAGAGAAGCTGACATTGATCAAAGACTAGGAGGTAAGCAGGGAGCCCTGCTGGTCTCTAGGGATGTTGATTCCAGGTGGAGGGGCCAGCAGGTGCACAGGTTCTGGGACAGCCATGTGTCTGGAGAACATCTGTACGAGAGAGGTGTAGTGGTATGGGGTTGGACTGTAGAGCACTAGGGCCTGTGGGTTTGGGGATGGAGAGAGAAATCATCAGATTGCCACTTGAAGCAGACTTGTTCTGACATCAGCATTGAGGACAGAATGGAATGGGCAGGGGGTGGGAGCAACTGTAAGACTAGTCAGGAAGCTGTTAAAATTGTCCAGGAAAATAAATTAGCAAAGGCCAAGCATGGTGGCACATGCCTGTAATTCTAACTCTCAGGAGGGTCAGGCTGGGATAAGGGAGTTTAAGACAATCAAAAAACGAGCCAGGCACCACATTTGCAGGCTCACCTGCAAACATAACTACTTAAAGAGTCTGAGAAAGGAGGGTTTCAGTTTGAAGCCAGCCAGGGCAGGAAAGCCTGGGAGACTCTTATCTCCAACTAACCACCAAAAAGGCAGAAGTAGAGCTATGGCTCACAGTGGTCGAGGGCCAGGCTTGAGTGAAAAATCCATGGGGCAGCACGCAATCCCTGAGTTCAAGCCCCAGTACTGGCTAGATAGATAGATAGATAGATAGATAGATAGATAGATAGATAGATAGATAGATAGATAGATAGATAGACGGACAGATAGACGGAAAGATAGATGGACAGACAGATAGATGGACGGACAGATAGATGGACAGACAGCACAAATGAGTAAAGTGGACCAGACTAAGTCTTAAACCCTCCTCAATCACTGGAGATAGGCAAGGGGGTCTCAGCCAGTTGGCTGTGAAGATTCCAAAGAGAGCAGGGGACACTAAATAATGCCTTATGAATTATGCAAAAGAAAAGTACCCTACAGCTTGTTCTTAAGCTGTTTGCTCTCTAGTTCAATGTAGACTAACAGTGACAGGTACCAGCCTGAGTAGTTGACAGTTCTGAGCTCCATCTCCTACTGCTCTAAGAGGTAAATAAATGTGTGGTTTGTCCCATGATATAGACTCCAGCTCTGAAACACAAGCACCTTCTATACAGTGGACGGGGAAAATCCTTGAAGATGAAGCCGTGGCCTTCCCTATTACAACCTTGGCATGAGCTCCGCCTCCCCCACCCCATTACAAAATCTCCAAGATACACACTGCATACGTGTAAGGGCTATCTGTGCACAAAGGCAATAATGTACTGGTGTGTCTTCATTTATTTAGCCAGTTCTTCGCGTCCGTGGGTGTCCGCACCTCCCCTGTATTTCTAGGGACTGCTCCAGGCCGGGGGAGTTGGCTGTCTCACAACTCTAAATTATCTTCACCAAACACATGGGCCTCTTTGATAATGCAGCCCAGATGTCTGATAGTGAGGAAGCAAACAGGCACTTAGGAGTACCCGGGACTTGGCCTGACCCCACTGGAAACACTCCCATTCCTGGGAGGGCAGCCAAGGGTGGCTTGGGCTGGTACTACCCAGCTCCAGCCCCCAGCAGCTCCGCCTTTCTTTCCCCTTAGTCTTCTTAAGGGTCTCCCTTCTCCCTCCATTTCCTCCTCACACCAGGGCATATTTCTATGTTCCTGAACTGTAGCTGTCCTCCCAGGGGTACCCCCTAAAACACTGTGACACTCGGTGCTGAGGTGTCTCCACCTTAATGGAAGATTCTAGTAAAAAAATAAATATGAGAGAAGATTGCTGCGTTTTTGCCAGGGTTGCTCTCTAAGTGAGAAG